AAGCATTTCTGCATTTATTTTGTTACACTTGTAACAGTACAATTATTAACTTTTAAAAAACTAAATATTTTTTACTCCTTTTTACTTAAAAATGCTTAAAACTTAAAACAACCAACACCATGCACAAATAACTGACTACGACTACGTTTACACGTACTGATAAAACCGTTTTAATAACAACCGTTTTCACGAAACTAACCAATCATACACTTTTCTTACACTCTGGCGTTTTTCTTGAAAAGCATACACTTTACACGATGTTTCCCCCACTTCCAAAAAGTGTAGTGTATTAAAAGTGTAAGGTGTACACTTTACACTTTTCGTGTATGCAAGTAAAACAAACCTATTGTAGAAGGCCCTATAGCCATTTCTCCTGTTTTCTTTCCTTCACTTTTTCTGTAGGTCTGTTCTTTTTACCTGAACTGGCTACACTAGTTCAGAGGTTATCTTTCTTCTTCCAATGTAGAGTGAAAAAGATGAACTCTGAACTAGTGCAGCCAGTTCAGGTAAAAAGAACAGACCTTGTGTCTGATTGGTTGCACTGGTTCCGTTCCGCCACTTCCGCCATGGATTTCTGCTCAATGGGACGCCGCCCTAACGGATGCTGTTTTTAGGCTGATCACTGTTTAAAACGTGAACGTGGATAAAAAACTTTTCTGCGTAAGGAGAACATCTGGTGCGCTAAAAATTGAATAATATCATTACTTAAAAACAGAAAATGGGCGGCGAAGAAGGACTCGGCATAACTACTGGCCAGCCAAATTTGTATAAACAAGATTTGTCAAAATTGGTGAGTCGTTGCGTCAGCTTGCTCGGTTTTTCATCCATCACGTAATAGAACCTTAGTTAATGTACTTGTCTTTGTCTTGTTGCAATGAGCAATTTATGTATATTTGTATATGTATATGTATATGTATACGCATACGCATCAAATAATATTTTAGTAATACAGATAACCTTCGAATAACGCGGTTTCAATATGACGCGGTTTACAAATTGTAGTAAAATGGAGTCTAACCTCAATTTATCATACGCGCGCTTATGTGAGCCTTGTATAACGCGATTTATAGAACACAGCATTTCTGAAATGGAATATCCACATTATACGAGAGTTACCTGTTCTAATAAAATTTTTTTAATTGATTTTATGATGTTTTTATTAATCTTAAGAAGAAATCTCATATACATGTGACATCAGTCAACACGTGCGCACTGACATCCTATATAAAACGAAAATGTCTTTTTTTTCTCACTATTTCTCTCTTATCTTTTATCCCTCGGAAATATCAAGCATATCAAAAGTTAATTTTATTATTTTCAACTAAACTTTAATCAATCAGAAGTAAGTTAAAACCCGCGTAACCATCAATATATACTTATTGTATCCAGGTAGTTCTTTTTTTTCTATTAGTTTTATTTTTTATACTTTTTTTTTATAATAAAACAATAATTTTTTCCATAAGATAATGTGCGTGAAATAAGGCCATAACAAAAGTTATAAGATTGTAAACAAACCAATCAATCACAGGTCAGCATTCTAGTTAATATAAAGTAAGTAATACTGATCTGTAATTGGTTGAATTGCTTACAACTTTACAGTTACGACTAAACTTTTTCATGTGCAATGCTCATATACTTTTCATGCATTGTTATTAGATTATGATGCCAGGAGCAAGAAAAAAATGCCAAAATATAGAAAGTATACTGTACTTTGTGAAGATAAATGAATATTTCTGTAGAAACATAAGATTGTTAGAGTATATTTTTAAAATATAATTGTAACTTGCTTATGTACACAAACCATCATGTACACAACATCAGTTTATGTGAGAGTGGAAAGAATTATTTTCCATTATTAAACAATAATAGTGATAATACTAATAACTCAATATGAACTTTTCTATTATACTGTCTATTTTTAGTTATTGCTAATATGAAAACTTAATGTCAATGGTTTGCTTTTGCATAGGTTGTTAGTGAATTAACTGCACTATCACGACAAGTAATCAGTAGACAAGCTACAATCAACATAGGTAAGTAACATAAGGTAATACAAAAATATAATTGTGAATATTAATATATGAAGCATAGTTAGTATATACATTTATTACAATGCAACCAATTTTAAAAGTATAAATTTGTATCAGGTACTATTGGACATGTAGCACACGGAAAGTCAACAATTGTAAAGGCTATCTCTGGAGTACAAACTGTTCGTTTTAAGAATGAATTACAAAGGAATATCACTATTAAACTTGGTAAGTGTATTACACATTTAAATATATAATTTTAAGTGTTTTTACGTTTTACTGGTTTTTGTATGAAATATTATTACATAGGTAAGTATAGTTTTGTATTATAACTTTTTTATTATAATTATCAAATTAAAAATTTTATTTTAGATAAATAAGTAATTACAATGCTAATTGTGAATGTTGTCTGAGTGCAGTCGATAGCAGTAAATGAATGAATGAATGAATGAAATTATACACAAGTGACATTTTCCTCTTACGTATAAAAGAATAATAGTAGTTGGTTTAGTATTATATATATATACATATATATAAAAGGATATTTTCTTATAATTAAATATTCAATGCAGTTATAATATATGTACATATTTTATATGATAGAAAAGATTGTTTTATACTTCAAAAATGTAAACGGGAACAACAGTTTGGCGATCTGAGCCTCTTTTTTGCCCGGGAAGAGGAAACAGCCTATGATATAGCGAATTCGAGTCATAGGTTTGTTTATACATGCTGAATTTTCGGAGAACTTGACTCTAAACTAACATACTGATTGCATTAGCATCTAGTATGTTTAGGCAAATTTAAAATTTATAGTATGATACTACATTCTGATAATTCCTGCTTCTTTTTTTTCGTGATCTCTTAAAAAGAACGGTTTGTTATGTATTATAAAAGTGTGAAAGCTGATTTTTTTTTAAATTGATATCGCAAGTATATAATAACAAAATGATTAATGAAATCCTATTAGAAGCAAACCTAAAAGTATACATAATTATTCGTTAGAAATTAAAACAGAAAAGAAGAAGAATAGGAAAGAAGAAATAAAACGAGACACAGAAGTAGGGGAGAGCTGTCGTTACAAATTAGAAGTGAAAAAAGGAAGATAACAAAAAATGATGCTGTTTAAATGTTTGGCATTGCAGACACGGCGGACAGTGGTAGCAGCAGTGGCGAATCGGCAGATATATCCGGTGGCATAAACTGTAAACTACCAGCTGTTTTCCAAAAACGATGCTTTTCCCCTACTGGAAGCATTGAAATGTCATCAGGCGCCAAACAACCCAAATTGAACGACACATCTACAGCAAGCGATAGCCACACCAACATACATCACCCGTTGAACAACAGAAGGCTTCGTTCCTGTGTATCGAGGCGGTCAAAGGACAGAAACATCATTACACAACGGGCGCTCGAGGCATTTGATAGTGGTTCTTATGCACGTGGAATTAACTGTATAAGAGATACGGGTAGTGACGGCCGACAGTCCGATTACGATGAATCGTCTGACGGTAGATCGTCTGCACGAGACGATAGTCTGACTTTTCGCGAATTTGAAATAAAGGAAGTACGAGTGCTGCTGCATGACATTATGTCTAGCGAAAAATATCGTAAAGTAGTAAAAACTTCTTTTGATAAACGTTCCTCATCTGAAAAACAAAAGAAACTATGGGAAGTAGAGAAAATTGTACAGAAATGCGAGCAGAACGGCAAGGTGCGCTATTTGGTGAAGTGGAAAAATTGGAACGTTAAGTACAATACATGGGAGCCGATGAGCAATCTTATCAACTGCGAGGAGTTACTCTTTGAGTTTGAGAACAATCGGCAAAAATTGATCGACCGATTTAAGGCAAAGGTGAACTTTTATCCAAAAACAGTTCACGTTGAAGATTTTTTAACACAGCTGCTGCGCGAAAACAAATCGATAGACGATGTCACGTCTGCTGCCGTAGCCGCAGCTACCGAGGATGGTGTGTTCGCCGACATCCGACGGTACTTAAATAATGATTCGCGCAACAATAAATTAGAAGCGAAGATCAAGCATCAAATTTTGTGTATGTTACTGATCGAAATACGACGTACTCAGCTCGAATCACTGCAAGATTGGGAGAACGAGATGAATAGTATTACAAAAGGCAAGCCGAGAATACAAGTGGAAAACTTGATAGATCTGGAAAGCGCGCCGCAAGATTTCTTCTATATCGACAGCTACTTGCCAGGTGCAGGCGTCATAATACCGGACGATCCACCGATCGGTTGTGAATGTAACGTCTGCGAATCCAGCGGCAAGTCCGGTTGCAAATCCAATTGTTGCTTTACCCAGAACGGTATGCAGTCGTTACCATACACGACGGCATTTCGGGTACGTGTGCCACCTGGCACGCCCATTTACGAATGCAACAAACGCTGTACTTGCGACGCACAGACTTGCCAGAATCGCGTGGTGCAGCGTGGCAGTGACATGCAGCTGTGCATCTTTCGCACGAACAATGGTCGCGGCTGGGGTGTGCGTACTCTACGCGCGATTAAGAAAGGAACTTTCGTTATTCAGTATGTCGGTGAAGTAATTAATAGTGAAGAAGCGGAAAAACGTAGTAAGCAGTATAATATAACCGGTCGTACATATCTCTTTGATCTCGACTACAATGAGACCGATGATCAATGTCCATATACTGTGGATGCAGCCATGTATGGTAACGTCTCGCATTTTATTAATCATTCGTGTGACCCGAATCTTGCCGTTTACGCTATTTGGATCAATTGTCTGGACCCAAACTTACCAAATCTTGCGCTTTTTGCCATCAAAGACATTAAGCAGAATGAAGAACTAACTTTCGACTATACGTGCCGGGAATCAACACCGAATACACAGACACCACGCAATAGTAGCGAGAAAATGCAGCAGTTGGATAATGAATCAGATGTCAAGAGTAGCGTCTCGAAATACAGAACTATTTGTAAATGTGGTGCTGCCACATGTCGTCAGTACCTATTTTAAGGAAAGTAGGATTTTGTTATTTTTGTTACCTATTCATTAATTTAAACTATTTTTTGTATGTGTTATAATTGTAATGTATTATGATTGTAATTCAAAAAAAAAAAAAATAAATTTGTAACTTAGAGATAAATAGAACAATGCGTCTAAAATTCTCGTCGACTTTCTTTTTATCAAGTAGAATGTCAAATTTTATATTGGATCTAGCTCGGATCTGCATCGAATGACATTCTCTGTTCAGAAAAAGTAAATTGGATCGAAAACTCTTCAAGATAAATTTGTATCAATATAAGAGTGTCTTAATAATAACACAGAACAAGAAATTACGAAATTTAAAGGAGAAACCTACTAATTCGATTTTTGAATAACTTGAGTTTTTATAATTAAGTTTATACTATTATAATAGAATTATATAGTTATATAAGGTAACTTTAAAAAAAATTAAATAAAAAAGGCGCCAAGTACACGCGCAACTCGTATCTCTAGAAAATTATTACTATAGAACTGTACTACATAAAAACTTTTTCTCTACAAAAGAAATGATATCAGAAAGTAGTGCCAAGTAAATCTCGTACGTTTATATATTGTTACTATATAAAATATTAGAAAATTATAAAAATAGTTTTGCGCGAAAAGTCTGAAACTGTCCAAATATACATACATTTATAGAATTTTGCTTTGTGTGAAAAATCGAAAACAGTTCTATGTGGAACTATTTTCAAAATAATAACTATTTTATGCAAAGAAACTTGACGTGGCTGCACCAAACATTAAAGACAGATCACACTACACATGACCTTTTCATGTATTTCACGTATGGAAGTTTAATTTTGTCATAAATCAATTAGTATAACACTACAAAAGTGTAGCAATAATTATGAATTCTTCAAGTATTTTTGATACTTTTGAGAGTCAGCATTAGATGAGTTTTGTCGAAAGAAAATAATGTTAGTTTATTAAAAGAGTTCGAAAAGTACGTACTTTGTCGTACGCTTAATAAAAAAGCTATTGAATAGCTATCACATTAGACTGAACTTTAGTTCAGTATAGTTTTCGGTTCAGCCGCGTCAAGTTTTTTTGCATAAAATAGTTATTATTTTGAAAATAGTTCTACATGGGACTATAGTTTTCTAATATTTTATTTGGCAACAATGTATAAACGTACGAGATTTACTTGGCACTACTTTCTGATATCATTTCTTTTGTAAAATAGCTTTTGTAGAGAAAGAGTTTTTATGCAGTACAGTTCTATAGTAATAATTTTCTAGAGTTACGAGTTGCGCATGTACTTGGCGCCTTTTTCTTTATCTTTTTTAAAAATGAATAAATTTTCAGGATATACATTTTTGTAGAATGTTGTTGCAAACACTTCTTTCAACATAATACAAATGTATTTTTACATAATAACAATAATACATATAACAATGTTGAAAGTATCTTTTTAATTTTTTTATGTGGTTTTTAATCATACGACAAAAAATGTTTACTATTGTTTCTATTTGGCGCAAAAGTGTTAAAATGTTTAATTAGTTTATTAAGCAATTAGATATTGCCTTTTATTTAGATCTAATTTTTCTTAATTTTTTTTCCAAAAAAGTATATAATTATTTTTAGCCCCTCTAGACCATTTTGTTTTATTTATTCCATTATCAACTTCAATCTAATTAGATGTTCTTTCTCGACATATACTTGTATAATGACCGTTTTCTACACATGATTCCTGGTAAAATATCGCATTCATTATATAACACAACTGTTTATTTACCAATATTTTAGGATAAATATTGACAATAACGGACCATCCTGTGATGACCTTTAGTTTCACATATATTATTAAGATGGTCTTCCTGAGTAACATACAAAAGGTTTTAGCCGTCGCACGTTGTTTATTAAAAAGTTATTACCAAAAGAAAATTTCAGAAATGAACCATTGTTCTTTGACACCGTGTATATTTTAGACATAATATATAATGTTTTATACACATATACGTCATATACAAGAAATAAAAAATATAAAAATATAAATAAAACCAATACATATTACGGTAAGCTTAGAAAGTACATTAGGTGAGAGAACGCACATAGGACGTTAGCTCGTCTCTGTGCGCTCCTAACATAGAGCTTATACTTATGGAGAGGCCCTGCGAGCGCAAAAGGAGGATCGACAAAGAGAGATATATTTTTCTGTTTCAATTGTGGCCACTTCTTATAGAAGAGAATAACAGAGAACACGGAGTGGGGGAGCCACAGTTGAGACAAAATATATCCAAATATATCTCTCTTTGTCGATCCTCCCGGCGCAGCCCTCTCTATGGTTAGCATATAGACAGGGCCTCTCCATGAGTATAAGCTCTATGGCTCCTAAGCATGTACTTTCCAAGTTTATCATGTTTTGCGTATTACCTTGTGTTTATATTTGACTATTCTGAATCCACTATTTATTGCCGTCATTGTTTATTACTTTCTGTATTTGTGAATTCTCGCAGTATCATAAATTATGTCTAAAATAAGCCCTGTTTGAATTTAGTTTCCGAGATATACGCCAGAAACTTCTGCTAATTTTACACTGAATTCTACCTGTTTGTGTTTTTGTTTTTTATGTTTGTATTGTAAGCGTGTAAACAGGGGGAGTGGCTTTGCTTCCCTGCACCTCCCGAAAAATCTAACCCAACCCAACCTGTTATTACAATGGGAGCTTTTCAGCTACGTACACAGGCGACACTGTGCAACACAGTGTCCACTACTGTGAGTGAGACACACTGATATGCTCTTTCTTACACTAATGGACACAGTGTGTGTACGTAGCTGGAAAGCTCCCAATATCATTAAGAGTGAGTGAAGTTTTTTTGAGGGGTGCAGGGGGAGGGACAAAGCGCCACTCTCCCTGCAACCTGCGAGGGGAGCGAGCCCCTTCTCTGCCTACACGTGTACGACAATGTGTGATACAAACAAAATATTTATTTGTGAAATATACATGATGTCCAAACACCAATCTCCGCAGGATACCCGTTCTCAAGAATTATGAAGAGTTTTCAAGTTTAATAATTTTTTTTTAAAAGAAGAAGAGAAGCACATTATTTTTTCAAGCTCCCCCGATTGATTCTTCATTGTAGAGATGAAATAAAGCGTTTTATAAAAAACCGGATCAAAATAGTCAAAATTGGGAAAAGGAGCTAAACTGCATAATTGCCGGAACTTTTTTTTGTTGATAACTTTTGAATAAACAACGAGTGACGGCTAAGACCTTTTGCATGTTACTCAGGATCATGAACAACATATGTCAAGATCAAGATCATCGGAGGTCCGTCATCGTCAATATTTATTTGAATAATAAGTATCCTTCTTGTTAATGATAATTCTCTTTTTAAGTAACATGTCATTTCCAGTACAATTTACACATACTTCTTTGTATTCTTTACACCAATACGAAAAGGTATCATTTAACAAATTGTTAAGTTTATAATTTTTTTTTTAAATTAACAATAGGAATCGAAATAAGAATATTATTTGATACACTGGTTTTTGTAGTATCACAACTTTTGCATTTTACAGTCCCAGCAAACAATTTCTGACTGCGCAGACCTGGCAACAGAAACTGTGTGCAGAAACGCTACAATATGGAAACATGCTTTGTGTGCTGCCAAAGCTGTTAACACAGACAAAAAACGCAACATGGTCACCAAAACTCACCGAAACCATATTCTACTGAGGACACAGATGGATATGGATTTGATGTGGCGGTTGGCGACAAAATTGCGACATCTGACAACCAAATTGTTTGCTGGGAGTGGAAGTTACTTGATGTTTGAATTCTGAGAAGACTATGTAAATCATATTTTGCACAAAAAGTCAGAAGAAATTTAGATTCATCATATTTTACATTCTTTGTAAAGTTTTTTATCTCCTAGACTCATAGATATTGTCGTATTGCATACCTAATAATCTCTGCACCGATCGCTTTTCAATCTGTACTACATTACATTACAAATTTATGTGTATATACTGCGTTCAATTTGAGAAGAGAAACCGGATGGACGAAGATCGTCCGTTTCGCACATCTTTTGTAGTAGAAACTCTCCTTGTTTCAACAACTCCACAGCCATTGGGTGCATCCAGATTCAGGAGTCGATTCTGTGGCTGTGTTCCAAATTTACTGTCGCTGGCAGCACTTGCAAACACCGTTAAAATGTGTAATAACATGCTGTGGCAGTGCTGCAAAAGTATAATGACGTCATTAATATTGTCGTCACTTTCTACTGTGGCTGCTGCGGCTACAGAGGTGAAGCAGCTAAAGCATTAAAGATGGCGACTACTATGGAACAATTGACGCTAATCGATGCGACAATAATATCACATACAATCTAGCCATATCAGCACAAGACGCTGAGAAAGCAAGAATCACATTTCTTTAATGTGATTTTCTAATATTCATCTTTTTGCATATTGTTTTCCATATTTTTGGGTTAGGTTAGGTTAGGTTAGGTTATGTCTGTTTCGTGTTTACTTTCTTTGCTATTGGCATTGAAACTCGCTAAAATATCGTTTCAATTTGAAACCTATATTTGTGTTGATAGCATGCTTAACAAAATCGGAACGATGTTAGTAGCTTGCTTTCATGAAGCCATACTTGCAGCGCTGACAGTAAATTTGGAACACAACCTGTATCACGCAATGTACTAAAACTTACAAACATGAGCGAATTTACTAAAATATCTATGATGTTATTGGTCAACAACTAGTAAATTTGCTCACTTTTGTAATTTTCACTACATTGCATGGATATAGAATCGATCCCCAGAAGCACGACCGCTCACTGAGCAAAGTAGCAATCGACTGTGATTGGCTCTTATTGTAATCTAAACCAGTCAATTGCTACTTAGCCGCTCACTGAGCGCTCGTGCTTCTGGATGCACTTATTGACCGTCAGCAAATGTCTCGCTAATCTTGCACGCAACGCTATCCTTACTTTGCTTTTCTTTCCCTACGCAGTAATATTCTCTTCTCAAATTGAACGCAATATAGATCAAGAGGTAGTGCCTCGCGCCAAGTTCACGCGCAACGAAGTGGCGCTCGAACTGCGCGAGCACACTGTGCCTTATATACGCGAGATTCATGCATTTTAGAAGTGGGGAAATTTTCTCAAGGCAATATTTAAGTAACGACTGAACCGATTAATTTCGGTTTGGTCTTAATTGATTCAGAATAAAACATTTAAAAAAAAGTATTCTTATGTTTTTTTTTGTTTGTTCCTGATTTTCGGAGATATGCAACGATTAAGAAGGTACTGGATACCGACTATAGAGACCTGTAAACCGACGTTTCTTCTAAGTTCTTTGGAGTCGTATTTACTGCATCAAATCTAAAATGCTTCTACAGAAATAAATAGTGCTAAGAATTGGCGCTTGTTCTTTGAAATGTCAAAATTCAGCATAC